AAAAGCAAGTATATACAAATATATATACAGGCATTTAGTATCGTTTGTGGCAGCCAAAAAAAATTTTTTACACTTAATTGAAAAAAATGTTCACCCTACTCCCAAATACTCCCTGTCTGTTTAATGATGGGAATTATAATTTTAGGTATCAAGTATATTTTAGAACAATGTCTACACATTCAATTTACACATATTGAAAAATGACGATCGAAGAGTTTTAAAGAATTGATTTTTTAAAATAAATTTTGATCAACATCACAAAATCTATTTCACTGGCCCGAACTGGCAGATGATAAAATGAATTAAATGTTCTACTTTCCTATTTGCAACATTATGTGTCCAGTGGCAAGGGGCCTGTTAGGATAGCATAAAAAAAAAATGAATGTACAAATTTCGATAACTTATTCCCCCCCCCCCTCAAAAAAAATTATTTCCTCCTCCTATGGGATTTACTAAACCTATAAATAAAAAAATGCTGGCCTTATGATGAAGAAAGGTACCTCTTTTAAAATTGATAATTTCAGGGCCCCTGGGTCAGGGGTATGGGGGGGGGGGGAGTTCCTAAAAATAAATTAATGCTTTGAAGTCTGCTCTTTGATAAGCAATAGTGCCTCTTTCAAAATTGGGAATTTCATGGCTTTTGGATTAAGACAATTGCTGGAAAGTTGTAACATGATATTCGGGTGACCTATAAGGCCCATGGGCCTCTTGTTTTTCTCAAAATGCTTTGCTACACTGTATAAGATATATATAGAGGGAGCGCTTCAACCCCCCTTTTTTCGGATTACAAGATTCAATGAAAAAAATTCATGGATCCCCAGGAAACGCAGAAGTATCGTAAAATACGTAGTCCGTATGGAGAGTCAAGTTTATGAAGAAAATCAAAATTCTACTCTCATCCTTGTATGGAGAGGAATGTTTACGAAAAATAGAAAATCTCAACACCGTGAACTATTATTATACATGTATATAAAGTTTCCGGGGTTTGAGCAAGGATTTTATTTAAGGGGCGGAGGCTTTTCAAACATTTTTTCGGCGTCGGAGATTTTTTTTTTTATTTTTGCCAATTTGAACTGGGGGGTCCGCACCATTCAAGCCCATCGGGTTTTATATTGTCTTCTTTCTTCGCTTTGCATAAGTAAATTATGATTTCAGCGGTATTTTGTGTATTCTAAATATTGTGCCTTTTGGAAGTAACATTCTGTATGAATTAAAAATGTCATCTTGGACGCTGATTAGTTGAAATACATATGTAATTTGATGATCGTTGGGGTGTCAGTACCATATTTCCACAGATGTATGTTTACAATATGGAAGGTTTTCTTTAGATGCAAAGACATTTCACAAGTTTAATTGCATGACCTCTCGATGTACATTGTCATTTTTCATTACGAAAAACCATATTGTTTCTGCGGGTATTCTCACAATTTACGCATATTACATGCACCTCTAAGATATACTTAGGTATGTAAATTACTGAAACTTATCATACCTGATATGTTTTTGTTAGGCATATGAGAAACTGCCCAAATACGTATGCCTGTTATGTCTTCCCACTCCCCACCAAGATGCCATGCATTTTGCCCCTGGATGATTTTGTTTTAAAAATTTTTAAGCTCTGCAATACTCACATTTAATTTTCATGTAAGTTATGCCCCCAAGATGCAATTCACTTTGATTTATGTGAAAATTGGACTACTAACAACCCTCCCACCTCCAGATGATTTTGTCAATTTTTTTTGTTCTTTCTTCCTTTTATTTTAAACGTAACTTCTGCTCTAGAACTCTCAAATTTTGCCAGTGTACGTAGTTCCAACTCCGATGATCCTTACTTGCTGGTTCGAATCCACTGCCGGACGTGGAGACCGGACCTTCGGATGATACCGTATAAACCGAGGTCCCTTGTCGCAGTAGGTGCTGGCACAGAAAAGATCCCTCACTGCTCAATGGCCCTAAGTGCAGAGTGAAGGACAAAATTTGTAACTATCCATCGTCAAGTAGCGGCGTCTCCATATTAGTGAAAAATTCTGGAAAGGAACATTAAACAACAGCATATATAGTTTCAATCGATCAATTCAGCTCGAATGCCAACGTGTTTATATAGCTCTCCTCACTAGTCCGATAGCCCTGTTTAATGAACATGATGGCTCTGGGTTGTATCCTTTCGAGCTTGTCTGTCTATATCTCCTTTTTTGGTGAGGGTCCCAGACTATGGCGATATATTCCATAATTCATCTTACCTTGGAGATATACGTTACGTTCCTGCAGTTTTCAGTGCAAGTTTTTTTCGTGTGTGTCAACATCACAACTTAAATTACTTACCAACCATGGCTACTGACCTTGATATATTTTTTTTGGGTTGGCCTATAAAATTTATAGATTTCAGCGGATCTTTTAGGAATCCCCTTATTTCAAAAGCAGTCTTTTAGAAGCAAGTTGAATGTAAGGACAATAAATTTTCCCTGCAGTCGCTCGTATTTTAAACAAAATATTTGCAGCACTTCGGAAATGCTCTGGAATTGTAGCCCTTTTCCAGGAAACATCCGGTTAAAAAAATCAGAGAAGGCTACATTATTGCAGCTACTCTTCATTGTTTGACCAAGACATTTTTAAACAGGTTTGATCAACTCGAAATGTTTTTAAACTAACGAGATTTATTGTCCAGAAGCCACAACTAAAGGATATTTATCAACAAAGCTATTTCTCTTGCATTCCTGTAAATCTAGAAAAGTTTTGCCGGTATCTTTCTGATACTAAAATCCCTATAAAATTCCTGTTTTTGTCCATCATTACTTGACATGATGATGTTTATGCATAATGTTATCAAGATTGATGATAATGTTCTACAGTACAGTGCTACACAGATCCTAAATGCCTAATGAGACCCGATATTTCGGCTAAATATATCAAATTGTAAATAAGAAGTTTAAAAATATGAGTACGAATTTCAAACCAGACTGTTTAAAAACAAATTTCTGGAAGTGTGACAGTATTGAGCTTATTACGCAGTAGGACCCCCAGTCTGACATTTCAGAGTATAATTGCTAGTGACAATCCTAGATATGTTAGCGGAAATTTGTGATCATGAAATTAATAAGCTTGGCTGTTGACCGAAATCGCATAGTATATAAATAATAATCACACTAAAGTCAACTGTACTGTTTTTTCATGGCGCCTTAAAAAAATTCCGAGAAAAGAAAAAAAAATTACTAATTTGAAGCTTGTATTTCATTTCTTAAAATAGTATCGGATATGTTAAGAAAACACTCTTTTTGCAAGAAAGTTTTTAATTGGTAATATTACAAAGCCATCCTAAAGGGCTTTAATGATTTATGAAAAAGATACATGTATTCTTGTGCAAAAGAGTTTTTCTCTTTTAAATGTAAATGTTTACAAAATCGGGGTAAAATTACAAATGACATTCTCTTTTACGGAACAGGGAATCATGTCCAGTGTGCCCTATCAAGATAACTGACTTTAATCAAGATAGGTGGAAGCCCTGTAACTTCAAATTATTTGTCTGCCTGTCTTGAGATTTCACATTGATAAGACCCAACATATGTTTTTCAAACGAGTTTAGAGAATTTCAGACAAAGTAAGTTATTGGTTGTTGATGTTCCATGTTAATCCCTCAATCTGTAGACCTCTGTCTTATCAGATATGCACAGTTTGATAATTAATAATATAAAACAATGTTCTGACCTCTCATCTATGTATTTTGCTGTACTCAGTACTAATTCTATTGCATTTTTCACTGTGTTACGTGACTTGCATAAAACAAAAATTCTTAAGGAAAATGTTTTAAATGATGTTAGACATAAGTGCATTTTGCTGGAAAATTGGATATAGATTAAAATAATTAACATCGTCTACCTGAGACATGCAGTTTGGGTAATTCCGGAAGCACGTCCAATTTAGCCTCGGCTAAAATTCCTTATATATTTTGAATAAAATTGCCTACATACAATCAGTTTTTAATCCTACGTAGATTTTCCATGTGAGGAAAATCTGGCCACATTTGGTAGTTTAATCACAAAACAATCAATTGAATATTCTGCAAAAAAGTTCGTACTACACTCGTCTGACAAATAGTCAGGGTGAAAGCATACTAACAAGTATGTCGACAGAAGAATCGACAAACATTTTGTGTTTTCTGAGGAGCAAGGCGGTACTAAGGGATCACTTGACCCGGCGTCTGTCCGTCCGTCTGTCTTTCTGTCCGTCTGTCACAGATTGTATCTCAATAACTGTAAGAGATAAGGATCATATTTTGCAAATTCATTGCTTGGCACTATGGCATTTGTAAATTACCATGGTTACCGCCCTCGTGACCTCCCTTGTCCTTTGACATACCTTACTTAAAATGAAAAGTGCCAATAAACAGCATATTTTTTACATTTCCAGGGGGTAATTCTGTGCCATTTTTTATGTGTACTAATTGTCATAAAACATGAAAAATACCAGCGATACTATTCACTTAACCTTTGACCTACTTTACGAAGAAATCCCCAGACAATTTAATTTAACTTTAGTTTTTTGAGTGGTGGGTGTTGATAATTAATATTAATGCATGTTTATGGGATTATAATACTGTTCTTTGAAACTGTTTGATATTCAGCCATCAAACAAACTGATATTTAAGTATTATGATCCCACAACGGATCGTGTACACATGTAAATTGATAAATAATTATGTTTAATGATTAATTATCCATCTGATTGACAGACTCTGTCGCAGTCTTCTACTATGTGTTTGTGTTTTCTGTGCATTTATGAACTATCATGCCAGTTTTTTTTTTTGGCATGAAATACTTTACATATATTTAGTTACATCTTTAAAGAAGCTAAAGGCAGGCGATCATTTGAACATTCTAGTTGTCAAACCCTTTCATACACGATTATGGAGAAAGATAACGGAACTTGACTGCTACTCAGTCATAGAGAAAAATGATGCACAGTTATCATATAGTTGCTTGGGTTGACAAAAATTAATTTCTTACCTCGCTCGTTGTGGCCCATGTTGAAGAATTGTTCTCAAAACTTCCATACGAATCCATTTTAAATTAAAAAAAAATACTTCTTTCTTACTCCTGTATCTTTCTCTGTCCTCTAAACACTCAAATAAACTCCAGATACAAGAACAATGAATTAAAACAACACTTCCCTCTCAGACGAATAAAAAATGTTGATAGAAATTTTATATCGACGTATAAAAGCATGAATTTGAATGTATCTTACGGTGTCTTGCGTGTGTCACGTGATCAGTAAGAAGCAAATTAAATGGCCGATCTCTAAGACTAAGTATCTATAGCGCATTTAGTTTATATGAAGGTTTATGAAACGAAGGGGTTACTTGCATCAATAGATAACCGCTTGAAACTCTGTTAATCGTTTGAGGAGACGACCTGATGATGCGTGAATGGTTTCAATCAATAGCCTCTAGAGTACAACTCATTTATAATGCTTCCTGCAATTTAAGGCTAACATGTTGATACTTTGTTTTTTGTTCCTATCGCACCTGCTATTAAAATTTGCTTACTCTAAAAACTTACCAGCAGGAATCATCAGAAGAAGAGCTTTATTTACGATATCATTCATGTTATCAAATTAGAGCGCCGTACAAGAATGCTGATTATTTCCCTGGCAGAAATACAGGATTGATAGACAAGCTATTTATTCAGATGTAACTTAACGGGATATTATGTTTGTTACACATTAAAATACTTATCGATAAAACGGTTTATCGTGAATGTACCATTTTGAACATACATGTGCATGTAAAATGAATGAAGTTAAAAATGCTACCTATAGGCAATTACGCAAATATATAATGATGGAAATAGAAAGGGAAGGTCTATTCAGCCTTAGGATCATAATTCAAATCGTCTTACTTTGTCCACACGTACTTCTATATTGTCAAGTACTATTTTGTCTTCATATAATTCTGTTATTTTCAAAATACATTATCTCTTGAGTTACTATAATCTTTCATAATTTAGACTAGGCTTGCAATATTTTAACTTTTCTACACATTTTATCAACATGTAGTCTAGCCCTGTAGTATCTTTATGAGTCTACACACATTGTTATCCCAATATGTATTGAATCAGCATCTTATACTAAGATACTTGCACTTATTTGTTTCCTTTACCCACAAATATAAGTGTGTCTATGTACAGTTTTACTTTTTTAATCATTAGATATTTTGCAAGCGCAACATTTATCTGCCATCAACCAAATCTCTTATATATGTTATAGCATAAACTCATTGCTTATATTTTTAGCTCACCTGAGCAAAAAGCTCAAGTGAGCTTATCTGATCACATTTTTTCCGTCGTCCGTCCGTCTGTTAACTTTTGGCATTTTAGACTTCTTTTCAAGAATCACTGGGCCAATTTTAATCAAACTTGGTGCAAAGCATCCTTGGGTGAAGGGGAGATAAACTTTTAAAAGTGAAGGGCCAAGTCCCCTTATAAAGGGAGGTAATCAACAAAAGAAAAAAATATGGTGGGGTCATTTAAAAGTATTCTAAAGAGACACAATCGCAACTTCTGGGGCCTTTCCGACTAGCGGAAAAACAACCTCGAATGTATATGGAAGCCGCCATGACAACCCTCCTTTTTCAAGATCTTGGATATAAATGCATGGAGACCTTTTATCTGTGGAATATGGAGTTTAACTTTATTCAATGTAATGATATTACCTAAAATATATCATAGAAGGGACTTCTAACTCCGTCTATCCTAAATTTGAATAAACAGGAAATGTATAAATTTTTAACATCCGGTGATGTTAATACATTCGAGGTTGTTTTCCGAACTCTGACGGAAAGACCCGAGATGATGTGATTGGAAGAGCCACTGAGCTAGAAAAACTGAAACTTTTGTGGAAGCTTCCTAGAGTAGTGTAAATTTTAAGTTGTTCAAATCATGACCCCCGGAGGAAGGGCTGGGCCACAATGGGGAATCAATGTTTTACATAGAAATACATGTATGTAGGAAAAACAATAATTTTTTTTTATCAAGAAATCAATGGTCAGAAAAGCTGAAACGTATGTGGAAGTGTAGATTCTAAATTTTGAATCTCATGTCCCCCTTGGGGTCGGGCGGGGCCACAATAGGAAATCAAATTTTACAGAGAAATATTTAGGGAAAAACTTTTAAAATATTTTTCTCAAGAACTACTGGGTCAGAAACGCTGAATTTTATTTGGAAGCATCCTTTGGTAGTGTAGATCCTAAATTATTCAAATTATGGCCCCTGGGGATAGGGAGGGGCCACAATAGGGAGTCAAAGTTTTACATAGAAATATATAGGAATTTTTTCTTTAATTCTTCTCAAGAACAACCTGTCGGAAAAGCTGAAACTTCTGTGGAAGTATCCTGGGGAAATGTAGATTCCAATTGTTTCAATCATGACCCCCCTTTAAAAATATTCTTAGAAACTACTGAGCAAGAAAAGCTGAAATTTACACGAAAGCATACTTGGGTAGTGTAGATTTTAAATTGTCCAAGTTATGACCCTTGGGGTAGGGTGGGGCCACAAAAAGTATTACAAGAGGGAATCTGGTAAAGAATAGCATTGACAAAGCTACTCAGGTGTACGATGTGGCCCATGGACCTTTTGTTCATTATATACTTCGTAATTTACTAAGAAGCTATAAGCTTCGCCTGTCTTAGTATATATTTATATACATTATTCCGTTTTGTCCTATTTTTAAAACAGACCGGTAATAAGGCGCCTTATTTTGCTGCATGTTTATTATTCAATTTTATACCGCGGTGATCATAGATTTACATACACAACTTGTAAGCTTGAACACCGGAATTCCCTACAACAGCAGCAGAAAATGAACAGATTTTTTTTTACCTTTTAACCCTTCAAAATGTCTCTATTTCCTTTCTTTAAGTTTTTTTTAGATAAGAAGAGAAAAAAGGCAGTCAAAAAACTTTTGTGAAAACGGTCTTAAAGTTATTATAACTTTGAGATCACTGGCAAGACAAGATTTTCAGAGAAAAAAAAGTTTTAATACATTTTTTTCACTTATAAAAACAGTCATTGACAGTGATGTCCCGTTTGGAATTTTCTAAGCATTAAAACAAAGCTATTGTATAGAAGTAAACAAAGGCACGTTTGTTTTTAATGGATAGAATCAATACTACAGCAAGAAAGAAAAGCAGTGATGACATCCATTTCCTTCCTTGCTGTAGCTTGAAGAATGTCGACACGCTCAGCAATCTGTTGTGGCTGTAATGGTGGAGGGGCAGTGAGGATTTGCATCCTGTATTGGACACGTGCATCTTTTGAGACACCCTTGCTGATAATTTTCTTGAGATGGTCTTTTTCAACTATCGGTTGTTTTCGTACTTTCTTGTATTCTACGTGAAGGTCAAAACTTATAAAACAGTCAATGAAACTATTAGGAGACTTAAGGTAATTGTGACATGTTTGGGAATTGACACCCTGTGATTTCGAGAAATTAACGACTTCAGTGTATGCATCTCTATGCATAATTTTGAGGAGAAGTCCAGCCTACCCTTACCCATTGTCCAACACATTCTTTGTACGTTCGCAAGCTGGTTTTCCTGATTATCAGTGCCTGTCCGTAGTGGGATATGATATTTTCTTTAAAAATTTCTCCATAGTGGTAAATTTAGATACTCTTCTGGGACACCATAGAATCTTTCAATTTCTTTTTCAATCGTTTTGTACTTCAACTCCTTTTTTTAGGTCACCTGAGTAAACCTTCTCTGCTCCTGGGTATTAAATACGCAAACTAAGTACATAGTTATGATGAGCAAGAGTGCCTCTACCAAAATTGTGAATTTCATGGCCCCAGGATCAGGGGTTCTGGTGTTAGGGCGGGGCTCTATTGATTATCTAGTGAAAATACATGAATTCTTTGAAAATCTTCTTCTCTGCTCCTGGATATTGAATAAACAAACTAAGTGCATAGTTATGATGAACAAGAGTGCGTCTACCAAAATTGTGAATTTCATGGCCCCAGGGTCAGTAGTTATGGTGTTAGGCCGGGGCTCTATTGATAATATTGTGAAAAAAAAAAACATAAATTCTTTGAAAATTTTCTTCTCTACCCCTAGATATTAATTAAACTAATGAAGTACATAGTTATGAAGAGCAAGAATGCCTCTTCCAAAATTGTGAATTTTATGGCCCCAGGGTCAGGGATTCTGGTGTTAGGGCGGGGCTCTATTGATTATAAAGTGAAAAATGAAAATTTTCTTAAATCTTTGAAAATTTTCTTTTCAGCTCCTGGGCATTAAGCAGATGAACTACATATATAGCTATGATGAACAAGGGCCATTTTTCAGAATTGTGAATTTCAAGTCCCTTGGGTCTATAAATGAGATGTATTGTAATTGTGCTTTGAACATCTGTGCTCATAGTAAAAACTTAAAAATTTAAAAATTTTGAAAGATTGTAAAAAATAGTTTTTAGATGCATAGTAAATAATACATATACCTCACTGTTTTTTAGACCAATTTGAAGGCAAATGTGGCAGTCAAAGACAAAAGAATGGCAAAGCTGGAGGGAAAGATTATGTCTTCATCACACAGATATTCCTCAGTATCTTAACAAGTAAGATGTGATTTCTTGTAAAACATTAATGACAATTCATTGTTCAGTATTCTACATGCATTCAGAATTGGTTGAATATCGGGGGGAGGGGGTCCTGTCCACAAGTACCTGTGGAATTCTTTTAGTATTTGGTGAATTAGAAGAGAATTGTTTAAGGTTCAACACTATTCTGATAAGAGTGATAACTCTTAATGACATCAGTATCTTTTATTCCTTTATAGCTTTCTCATTTTGAAATGGTTTATTCATCTGATTTTAATTTGCATAACAAACTTTGCTATAATTGTTAGTATCGTACTTACATAGTACATTTTTCTTTGAATAATCATAAGAGTTAAGGTGTTATTTCAAGTTAATGATAACTCCATTATTTTTCTGACAGGGCAGTGTAGATGACCAGCAGGTTGTGAGGGATGGCCTGAACAGTGTACGGGTCAGCTTTAAGAGAGGGGATCCACAACTCCATATCCTGGACACCTTAGAACAGAGTGTGTCCTCCCTACTAGAGAAAATCGACGAAAATAACAGTACATCAAGTAATGGAAGTCACCAGGTGTTTAGTCAAAAAGAAAAAATATAGCAAAAAGTAGGGGTAGTTTTTAATGGGATTTTATTTAGAACTATTTATTGTTCACAGTTGTGAAAACACATTTAGCGCTTCCTCAAAGTGTTAACTCATTATATGAAACCATTTTGTGTAAAGTTTTTTTTTTTTTTGGAGTAATGATGGATTTTTCCCTCAAACTTACTTAATGCTACTAGATAAATTCATATTCTATACAAATTGTATTTACTGAATTATTTTCTTTTAGTTTTAATGATTAGGTTTATAAATTATGATGATATCATATTTATTTAACATTCTTGTAGTTGTAGTTATTAAACCAGTGAATCTAGTCCTCTGGGTTACCTGTGCTGCGTCATTACAAGGCTGATGACGTCATATTTGACGAAAGACTTTCTTCTATCACTAGACTGTATTGCCATTAAGTATTGTAATTATACCCCACGCAACTAGTTGCGT